TTTTTTTTTTTTAATGTAATGAAAAAGTCTGTTGCTTTTTCCAGTCCAGCTAAACTTAGGGTCTGCACACTAATGAAGCCTCCTGAAGAGAAAAAAACCGAAATGGAGATTCTCCTAGAAAATGTTTGTCCAGGAGCCCTGATGACTCTGAGGAGGTGTTTCTGTCCCTCTGTAAATATAGACACTTGCATATACTTTCTCTAGAAAGAAAAAGCGTATGCATGTGAAGGACTTTTAAAATGCTACTGGACAGACTGGGCACAGTGGCTCACACCTGTAATTCCAGCACTTTGGGAGGCCCAGGTGGGCGGATCACTTGAGGTCAGGAGTTCGAGACCAGCCTGGCCAACATGGCGAAACCCCATATCTACTAAAAACACAAAAAATTAGCCGGGCATGGTGGCGCATGCCTGTAATCCCACCTACTCTGGAGGCTGAGGCACGAAAATCACTTGAACCCAGGAGTTTCAGGCTGCAGTGAGCTATAAATCCCACCACTGCACTCCAGCCTGGGCAACAGAGCAAGACTCTCTCAAATTAAAAATAAAATGCCACTGAACAAACAGGAACTAAAAGTTATATGGTCAACATTTGTACTGCTCATTGCCTAAGTCTAGGGGCAGAGGATTGTGCCCAGGTAATGACTATTAGAAAAACCAGGGAACTTCCTCTAATCAATCCTTTATTGAGTGGTTCTAGTTCTGGCATTCAGAGTTGTATATTTGGTTTCAGTTTTTATTCTATTTACGTCAAGAGAAAAAACTTCCAGCAAACCAAATGAAAAGCAAGACACATCAGCATCTAAAGAATTTCTGTATTTATTTTACATAATTTTACCATACACATCTCATGCCAACACACAGGAGGCATATACAAACAAACGCACCAGCTTCTGTTTTCCAAAGTCACATGGCAATAAATAAGGATGGGTGGGTCCTTTTTTTTCTTTTTTTTTTTTTTTTCCAGGAAACGAGACTTCATTTCTTTTTAACTGTACAAAATTTACATTGTGAAGAATGAGGGCAGCGATCCAGAGCTGAGGGATCTGGGGTTTGAGGTCTGATTGCAAGCTCAGAGCAACTTCTGGAATCCCGCAGCCCTGAACCTGCTTGTTTGGCCGAACACAGTCCTCAAGTGGGAAAGTTGGTGTGATTCTTGCCTCTCGGTGGGCAACAGATGAGAGTGGGGCTGTCCTTCCTCTGTTCACCTGTGCTCTGCCTCCCTAAGCAAAGGATTGCTTGGTGCACCTCCCAAACCTGCAGCTGTCTCCTCACCAGAGCTAGCAGCATGAAACTGTGCTTTTAGTGTGGTCCTACCAAGCAGAGTGTGGATGGGATGACTTTGCTGAGCTCTCTCTTTTTGGCTCCAGTCACTCACTGTGTTTAGAGCAGTTGGAGCAACTACTGCAGAAAGGGCCAATTGACCAATCCAAGAAAGAGAGAGCCAGTGATGTGCTTTTTATTTAGCTTTCAGCATGCCCAGAGCCCTTCAGCAGCAGGCAATAAAACAAAACTCATTTCCGCTTAATTGAATTTTTCTTCATCTCACAGCTTCCAATTTTTAAAGTGCAATGTTTAAAAATGAGCCTCCTCAGGCCTTCCAGACCCTGCTGGCTGGGGAGGTATGGTAATTATTCTCATGGTTATAACCAAGTTGTCAGTCGTGGCATGTGGGAGTGGAGGTGCAGAGAGTGGACTGTCATACAACACACAGCCTTTGCTCATCAGAAGCCTTGAGCCCCCTCCTGTAAAGAGGCAGTTGGAAATCACCAGCTTGAGCTTCAGAGAGAGAAATGTCTTTTGTTTTACAGATTTCTTACACTTCCTTGCAAAGTGAGCTTAATGATGAAGATCTAATGGCCCAATTATCTTACTAGGTTTCATGTTTTATACTGGCCCCCCAAAAGTTTAAGGACACTGCCAAATGCTTTTCTTGTGTCTTAATTTTTTCCTCTTTCCCTGATGTTTCACAGTATTCATTTGCAGGAACAATGTTAGAAATATGATAGTTGATCTTTGTTTTACATTATATTCATAACTGTCAGATGAGACAAGAAAGAGAAAGCACAAAGACTGACAGGAATTTGCCTGAGGTTGCACAACAGGTTCTTGAAGGGACAAGAACCTGACTCCCAACACTGATTTACCCATCGGGCCAACTTCTTAGCCTTTAAATCTGGTATTTCCTCCATGGTTTCATTACGTTCCAACAAACAGAGATTCCTCCATAGCCCCTCAGTTTCCATTTTGCTTATACCAGTTACCACTAGAACTTGGGGTTTTAACTAATTTGCTCCTGGATTCAAGAGCTTCCTACTCTAAAGTTGGCCAGGCAGGCACTGCAGATAATGATAGCCTCTAGAAGGTCTCATTTCATTTGTAAAATTCATCCATGTCATTTTAGCAAGGGGGGAAACAGCTATCATGTAGCACCTTATACCCCATAATAGGCTTCCAAGCAATAGAGGAGTGCCTCTAAGAGAAGCTAAAGGTAATGAATGCCCAGCTCTTCTCCATTTCCAAACCCAGAAGAGTCTTGTCTTGCAATGGCTCATTAGTGGCACCAGCCCATCCATAATGCTAACCCCACCTGCAGGAAGATCCAGTTAAAATCTTAGACCTACTGTGGCTGTGCTTTTAAACAGGCAGCAATGTTTGCTGCTTTCTGGGGAGGTGGCTCTGGAAAACAAAGCTCTCCTGGTTTTCAGACCAGTGCTCTCAAGGGGTTTTCCAGCTACCCAGCCGTACTGATGTCAAAGAACTACTGACCTCGTCAACTGTTCATTGAGTTCCTCAAGAGATTTATTATGTTAGTATAATGAAGAAGGCCTCTACTTCCACTACTGAACTGGGAATTAGTATGATTAACTTACAGAAACAAAAACTGGTCAACTTACAGTGATCTTAAACAGTGCTACACAGAGGAGGATGGGGCCCCCCCTTTAAAGAGCCTGCTCTCCCCCACACTATACTCACCAAAAACATCAAGGGCCTCTGAAATCCCATGAGTTGCTAAACCAAATAGTCAACTTGCAACAGTGATCTGGGTGGGCAGCTTTTCAAATGGTTCATTGCCCTACAGAGCCTTTTCTCCTGTGTATTTTAAGCAGCCATCCTCCAAAAAGACGACTGCATATTCCTTTCCTCACATGGCATTTATGTCTTCCTACCCACCCCAATGTTCACAATTGGAGAATTCCCAATAGCACAGAAATGGCAAGGCTTAACACACCATCATCCATAAACATGGAACCTCAAGAGAAGTGTCTATGTTTGCAGACTCCTCAAGCAAAAATCATGACCACTGCAGCACTACCAAAAAACAAGGGTACACCATAAAATTGGTCAGAGAAGAGGTGGCCCGAAGGCTGATCCTGGAATTTACTGTTTTAAAGAAGCTTAATTGAATTTAGTCCTGGAAAGGGGCTTTCAAAAGATGCAGCAGCCCAAGAGGAACTGTGTATTCTTCCTTTAGTCTGCCTATGACATGCCTAAATCTTTGCAGTTCTCAAAAGGTGACCAACCATTCTTAGAAGGAGGGGTCCTTAGGATCTCTGGCCCCATCACTTCATGTGATAGAAAGGCAATGCCTTCTCACCCTTTCCTACTCTGCTGATCTCATTTAAGAGAATGGGAGGCCAGAAGAAGCAAACCACAGCTTCCCAGAGGGATGGCAATACATTCCAGCTGGCTAAATTCCGGTTTGCACATGGAGAGCTTCCTGATGGCAGATGGGTGCACAAGGTGGGTGGGAGCTGCAGCACCATTCAGGACAGCGTTTCCCACAGCAGTGCAGTCTGACACAGGAGTGGCAACTCGTAAAGCAGCGGTTGGCCTTGCCCTGGCCTCAGGCCTAGTGATGTGCTACTGCAAACCTGCACAACAGGGAGTCCCTGCACCACCACTGGCCAGAGAGCTCTGGCTTTCTGACCATGGGACTGCAGCCCAAGGCATGGCAGGTGTCCAGCCAGCAATCCAGAGAGATGCAGCCCAAGGACCACTTAGAACCCGTTGGAAAATTTTGGGGCGGCTCCCTAAATTATTCTTCCCAACCAAGGTAGGCCAAAAAAAAATTGCTGGTTCCTGGAAATGACCAAAACTGTCCTCCAATTGAGTCAGCTAGGACAGCAGAGAAAGCTTTCATTGTTAAGGGGGCAGAGGGGTAGACTTGCAAGCTCATCTAAACCAACTCCTTCAAAACAGACACCAAATATTTCACCCTACAAGGGATGGGGAACTCTGGAAGACTGGCATCAGCCGATATGGCCGAACAGACTGCAGGTTTGGAATCCAAATGTGTCTATAAATGTTCACTGATTGTCATTCTGTTCTCCCCACATTTTAGTTTTGCTCATTTTGTGGCCCACAGCCTGTCTTGTGGAATAAATGATACAAGGAATTGAAGAAGGCACACTGCACCAAGGGGACTCATCAGGCAGTCTGCAGCAGTGGTCCAGGGCTACTCAGCTCAGCCTCGGTCACCTGCAATGAAAACCACCTCTTGCCATCAGAGTCAATTATATAGATGGGGCTTAAAAACCAAAACAAACTCATATTCTCTGGTTTGTAGGAAAGAATATCTTCAGAGCAAACAAACAAAAAAAAGGATGGGGCATATTTTTAATATCAAACTGGCCATCAAAGTGTTCACTAACCTTTAATAACTGATCTTTTCATTTTGAAATATAGGGTTCGATATGGGTGGTCCAGAAGTCACTTTTATTTTACTCAAGGGCTGTGAGGCCTCTACCTCAGGAATCTCAGTTCTCATGAGAGCAGTATTTTGGGAGGCATTGCATGAGACACACCAGTTGGAGCAAAGTTCCCAAAGCCCAAGGGGGCCTATCACAGTCACCTTGTGCTACCAAAGCACTGAGCAGCCAAGCCCCTAAGCAGAACAGGAGGGGAGAGACCCAACAAGCCAGTGTCCCTAGAGCTCTAGGCCATTACCCCCTGTGCTGTGTTCTGAGATGAGGCTGCTCTCCCACTGCTTCCCCAGGAAAACAATGCCCTGTGGTCTCACAGCCTTCTAGGAATCAGCGGAGGACTTCCATTGAAAATAATGGAAATTCACATTGGCGTACTTTCGATCCTTAAAAGGTAAGTCTCTTTTGATCCTTGAAGATACTCTCTCAAGCCAGGATGGCAGGTAGGGTGGGGAGGAGAGAAGTTTAAAAAGGAGGATGATCCATTTCATCGAGCCAAGAGGCTGGGCTAGTTGGAAAGTCGGGATAGCCTACACTGCTTCCTGTGGAGATGTCAGAGGTGGGTCCCCCAGCCATGGCTCTCAGCGTCTGGCTTACTCCCTGCCCTGCATGCGCAATGATGCCCAAATTACTGTCCACCGTGTAATCCAGCCCATTGAGCAAAGGAGCGTGGGATGGCAGGGACGATATGGAGGATGGAGACTGGGGGATTCCATAGGGGCTCCCATCCCTCAAGTCCTGATAGGATTGTCCTGTCCCGTCCATGGAGAAGCTCCCATTCATTAACTGTCCGCCTGTAACGTCCCCCACGTTGCCATAAATCCTATTGGTGTGGCCAAGTTCTGAGAGAATTTGATCCTCTGTGGACAAAAGAACGGAGATTTATTGTCAGCCGCCAGGACTCTGATGGTCCCCTGCTCTTCACAACCTAGGAATACATGTGACCAAGAAAGACACCCAAGGACGGCAGCTGCCTTGCAGCCAAGCATGGGTCAGACACACCAATGTGGCAGCCTGACATCCAGAGGCCAACCCAGGCCAAGGAGAAAAACAAGAAACACCTGCAAAGACTAAATTCCCAGGTCCCAGAAGGATGGTCAAATGTTTGGTGAGCTCGCTGGTACCTTGTGGCTCGTGTACTAATACTCTGGCTACACTGAGGAGGATGAATGCCTAAGACTGGGTGGGTCAGATGTCTCCACCTCACAAATGGAAACTACATGCTGACAAGATTTACCCTGAAAGCTTTCAAGCTGAGAAAGGGCTTGGTTTAGTTGGTTGGGAAGCAAGCAGGCCCGTATGGTCAGGGAAGCTGAGGACCACTCTTAGACATCTATACAAAATCCTCTGGTCTATCTGGAAGAGAGGTTCAATATCAAAGGACTTGGTTTCTGTCTGTATTCAATAAACTCTTCACTGGGGACTAAGAATTGACTTGATTAAGGCAAACGAACCTTCTTGTTTCTTGAAGAATTTCATTAAAGGGATCTAATGGAATATTTGCCACTTGAAAGAATTCATCTCTCCAACAGAGGTGAGCAGTTTTAGTCTTTGGGTAATTATTCCCAGAGAGACCAATGATAGGTCAGCCCAGGGACCCACCTGCATCCAACAGAAATGAGCTTAACCATCCAGTATGTTCTAGGTGTTGACTTCAACAGCCCAGATGAGATTAAGTGACTTTCCTAATCCTGCCAAGAAGCCTAGAAGGTGAGCATTAGTCCCATGAGCGGTCCCCAAGGCCCCACAGCCCCTGTATTCTGAGAGGAGGCTGCCCTCTAGGGCTCAGCTGACCTCTGGGCTGAACTACAGTCCCCCCAGGGCATCGTGGTCCTGGCAGGCAACTTGTTCCATCCTCTGTCCCACAAACTTCTTTTTCTATTTCCTATGCACCAATCCCTAAATAAGGCCTCTCCAGACTAGACTTCAACACCCCATCCCTTCTGAGGCCTGCCCCCCATTCCCCTTAGAAAAAACATGGTGGGGGGAGCACATGCTCTTTAAAGGGAACAGGAAGATGAAGGCTCCACTCCACTGTCAAATGGCCTTGAGTTAGCCTTTTGCCTTTACCTGTCATCCCACATGACCAGGGCCCTGTGCGGGAGCCGCAGGCTCCTTGTGGAAACGATCATGCCTTCCAGGTATACAGATGTGCCAGGCTTTCCCCAAGCCCATCCATAGTTGGTTGTGTTCATTGATCCCCACAACGCAGTGAGAGGGGCAAAGATAGGGTATTCCCCATGGGAATACTGGGGCTCAAGAGAAGTGAATCGATTTGACAGAGCCGCACTGGAAACCAGGTCTCTGATCGCCAGTGGAGTACTCTTCCCTTCCCCCCTCCGCAGAAGACCTTCCACATTTGGGAACTCAGTAACTGAGAACAGTTATGATTCTTTGCAAACAACCTGAGGATTCACAACATGCAGTAATTTGCAATTTTGCTGATGCACGAATTTGAATATAGCGCATGCTGCAAAGCTTGTGTGCAGGGGACAGAATGAAGTGAGTGGTGGGGGAAGGGAGTTCGGAAGTGAAGCCAGTTCCCCATCTCACATGCACTCACAACACTGATTTCCCAGGAAAAAGGGCCTGCAGAGCATGTCCTCCCCACCACCATGACTGGAGGAAGGGGTGGCTCTAGGAGACCATCAGAGTAGGCCAGTGTCCCAGCAAAGGGGACAAAGATGGGAGAGGGGCTAGGGGCACAAGGCTGGGACCCGGTCATCTGTTCATAGCTGTGTGGGCTGATGAGGGAGGCCCCAGTCAGCAGGAGGGGAGGGGAGGCCTTGGGGCCACAGGACGAGGCCTGGCCCATCCCAGCTTCCAGACCTCAGCAATCTTGTTTCCTACTCCTGTCCCCTGGTAAAGGGCCACTACCATTTCCCCCACCCTTCACTGCAAGTCTTAAGGAAAAGCCTGTGTTTGGGAGGCACTTGCCAAGGCCTCAAGAAAGATCCCTCCTGAGTGCCAGGGATTACAGATTCCCAGGGGACTTTCCTAAGGCCTTGGCCTGGCCCCTCCAGCCCTGCTCACCTCGGAAGCTCAGCTCACTGTCACTAACCCCACAGTCCTCTGCAGAGCTCTCCTTCTCCTGCTTGCTGCTGCCCCGGCTTCTCTTGACGCTCTTATAGAACTGCCCCCAGCGGTGCCGCCCTGCATCCTTCTTCAGGCGTTTCTCTTTGGCCCTTCTGTTCTGAAACCAAACCTGCCACACAAACACAAGGGACACACTCAGGGGCATCCACCATGAACCCAAAGCCCCCAGGACCCCCAAGGCAGGCGGCTGGAAGCAGATTGAAGCCTGAATGGAGTGCAGGTCCGGGAGTGCCATGAGCCCCACCCCCTCTCCCCAGGTGGGCCTCAGAACTCTTCAGTTCTGGCAAAAGCCCTGGGGTCAGGCCCTGAGCCCAACCACCAGTGAACTGATGTCACTCAGGACACCTTCCACCCCATCCCGGGCCTGGGATCCCTGGAGGGCACAGGAGTGCTGGCATCTCACCTGTACGACCCTCATGTCCAGGCCTGTCTCTGAGGACAGCTGCTCCCTCACATGCCGGGCAGGCTTGGGGGAGTTCTTGTACGCATTCTTTAATGTCTCCAGCTGCTTGGCTGTGATGGTGGTCCGGGGCCGCTTAGCTCCGGCCTCTGAGTCATCTGCAAGGAAAAACCACTGCTTACTGGCTTCGGCCTATCTGCAGCAGCTGCGTCTCCTCCCCCACCCTCCTTCCATCCTTTCTGCACCTAAGCCTGCCTGCTGTAGTCAGGGCAGTGCGAGGCACAGGGGACATCAGAGTGGAGAGGTCCCCAGTCTTATGGCACCGGCTCCTGCACCACAGGCCTTCCCAAGCCACTGGAAAGTAAGGACCGCAGTCCTTTCTCTGCTTAGCTCCCTGCTTCTCCCCTCCCCTGCCAGCCCAGCTGCATAGAAGTCTCATCAGACTGAATGAATGCACCAATTCCACACATGTCCCTGTCATGACAAACACTCTGCTCCGCATCCTCGTGAGTTCTTGCCGGAGCTGTGAAGGTGAACAGCCAAGCTGAAGTCTGTGTTCCAAGCCGCCTGAACACCTTCCTCTCTCTCTCATGGGGAGTCTCCCGTTTCCCCACAGCCATGTCACCTTGGCCCTGGCGTTGCTGGGCTCACAGCCAGGGGTGAGCTTGCACACCCAATAGTGTCTAAGCAAGTTTCTAAGCTATGGGTCAGAACCCACTCGTGGGCTGTAAAGTCAACTTAGTGGACCAAAACTAAAGGAGGAAATCAGATGAAGAGAATGGAATGGAATGGCAAGATCATTTCATTAACCTTTAGTTTTTATTGTATGAATGTATGTACTGAGATGAAATGTTGAAATAGTTTTACCGTGGATCGTAGTCAAAATTTTTTGAAAAAACTAGTCTAAGGAATGTTCTGGGCAACACATTGATCAACACAAAGTCCTCTACAGATTTTGAGTGAACAAGCTAAAGTTCCTGTTAAAGTCTGGTTTGTTCCATTCAAAGTCAGGCAGAGAGAGAGGCATGTGGGTGTGTTCAGAAGCACAGATGAGCGGAAGGGTTTGTTTCTTCTCCCAGCACTAAGGCTTACTGCCCTTTTAACTCCACAGTGCCCCTGGAGGACACAAAGAATAAAGTCAGCAGCTGGCCCGGGCAGCTCTGCTCCCTGTGCTTCCTCCCCTGTGTGCCCCTGAAAGTGTCTCTGTGCCATTCCTGACTTCCTCTCTGTCTTTTCTCCCTTCTTTCAAGAAAACCCTCTCCTAGGAACAATAATAGCCAACATGTGTTAGCACCTACCATGTGCTGATGTTGACTAAGGACTTTATATGCATTCAGTCCTCACAGTCTACAAGGCTCTCCCTGGAGTCAGCAGACCTGGCTTCAATGTTCTTGCTGAGTGAGTGACTTGGACCAGTAACTCACCTCCCCCTTGGAAGCCCAGAGGGCAACATAGCCTGCCCTGGTCTTGGGAGGCACTAGAGGAATGAAGCAGCTGTGCGGCCAGGACATGCGTGCACACAGTGAGGGGGACACACCCGTGCCTTCCCTTCTCCATGGGCTGTTTTCTTCTCTCACGTGGCCACTGTCATCCCAGAACTGCTGTGGCCCAACTCCCTCCCTGAAGCCCCTGCCGCAGAGATGACACTACTTAGAGAGTCATTCCAAAAGATAAAGGGGAACCTCCAAAATGCCTGCCTTTTAATTCTGAGGAGTCAGTCCCTTCTGTGCATATTTATAGTCTACACGGGAGTGTCTGATGCAACTTTGAATTATGCAAATGGGAAATAGTGCACTTGTATACAGTCTTTATATTAAAAACTGAAATAATGCAATCACCAAAAATGTTTTAATTCCTCGAGAATCACTTAATTTCAAAATAGCTTGGCCTGGGGAATTAAATTCTTTTTGCCACAGCCAGATGGCAGCGCCGCTGGGATAGACCGTCATCCTGGTTGGTGGCCCGCTGGTTCGGCCCTGCTACTCACACGCACAGGACTTTCTTCTTGCGATGATGGGGACTAATATGCTGTTATTTTAACATTCACTGTTATTATAATTTAAAATCTTTTTTATATCCTATAACAATGTCATCCAAGTATTCATTAAGTAGCAATGGCAGTGCTCGTGCTGAAAAATGTACCCAAAAATCAATAACTTTGGTACGGAAGTTAAATGTGATAAAACGCTATGAGGAAGGCCAAGGGAGCCCATGATACCCTGGGCTGTTAATTTAGGAGAGAGCGTTCTGCAAGGTATTCAAGATAATGCTGAGAAAATAAAAAGTAGCATTAAAGTAAAGATACACTTCACTGGTTATGGATTTATGTGCTCTCAGAATACACCACCCCCACCACACACACACTACATTAATTCTTATGGGAAAATTAGTCTTAAAATATGTTAGTTTTGAATGATGCAGGGTCTCCTAGAACTTGTCCCTGGCATAAAATGCAACCTCATTATATTGAAAATGCAAATATCCAGGGAGACAGAACAAGTGAACAAAATCATTCACACTAAGCTGCAAATAACTGCTCTGAGATCCTTTGTTTAGCTAATGGGAGGGAACTGTAAGCCTGCAGGAGGGCTGAGAGTAGCAAGGAGGAATTAAAACAACCTGAAAAGACAGCTAGGCATTCTGCAGTGGACAGAAGTCCCCGCTGTTCCAAGGATCACCAATTGCCCAGGACAGAGGAGCCCTGCCTTGCCGACAGCCAGGGTGGGGTTGGGGGAAGGACCTGGGGAACAGGTCAGAAATACTGTGTAACATTCAGCTGCTTTAAAACCTCAAGCACACCTCGCCTCCCTGTTTGCACTTCTCTTCCACATTGGTCTCACTCATTTCACATCGCATTTCACAAGTCTCATCCTATTTAAACCTCAGGAAAACAGCCCTACGTGGCAGATGCTATGATCCCCCATAGACAGCTGAGAAACCGAGGGTCAGCCAGTTCTACAACTTGCCAAGAGATCTCCCTGTGTGGGGGGATGCCCAGTCAGCTTCTGACAGCAAGTTCAGCATCTTCCCACCGTCCTGCAGAGGTCTGCTGTGGTGCAAATATTCATCGATAAAACTGTGAACACCACAATGTCATTCCCACCTCCCCAGCCAGATTCTGACCAATCTACATTGGTTTCTCTCATCTCTTGAACCACCCACAACATCAGGAGATGCTGAGCTGAGAGTGCTCAGAGTCCAAATGAGGCCTCTGATGAGGAGAACCAGCTGCAGGCCGGGGAGGTCATGCCATCTTAGTATCTCTGATGAATGGCACCAGACTTTCAAAGGTGTCTTGGTATCTCTGAGTCCATCTGCTGTGATGGTTCATCCCTGACAAAGTGCCCTATCTCCTGTGACATCACAATTGACTTCAAGGCAGTAGCATGGAGTGAGTTTTAAGAGCAGATTAGTACCTGCAGGCAAAGAGCCTTGGGATGGGTTTGCAGAGGCCCCAGGTCTCTGGAGGAAGGAGGTCAAAGGCCTCTGTCCACCCTGAAAGGCCAGAGCTGTGGGGGTGGTGGAAGGGGAGGTCCTCAAAGAAACAGGAAGCCCTGCCCACTCCTGCCGTGGACCAAAGCCAAGCCCAGCGCCAGCTGGCTCACCTAAAGGGCCCTCGTGAATCCCCTCTGCTTCCTCACCACCACAACCCCCTTATTTTATACTATGTTTATTGAACAAAAAACCAATTTCTCCATTATTGATCAGATCTGTATAACATATGTGCGTGGGCCCAGAAAAGATCTAGAAGGAGATACATAAAATTGTTGCTAAATTTTTTTCTCATCAAGCCCAGAGCTGTCAACAAGAGTCATTTTTGCACAGTAACACCCTGAGTTGATCAAAATTCTAGTCAAAGGCCAAGGAACTCGATGTCTTGTGTGTTCACACATCTGAGATTATCATGTTGGGTTTGGCCAAATCCCAAATTCAGAGCCAGGACCTGACCCCACGGCCATGTGGGTGCATCTGGGAGTGAGAGGCCAGAGGTGGGGCTGCAGGAATAAAAGTGTCCAGCTCGGCCTTGCAAGGGGAGCATGAGGAATGTGTTGTTCTGGGCTCTATCCTGGAAAGTCCCCGGGCTGCCCAAGACCATGGCATGCAGGGTGAGAGCTGCTGCTGCCAGGCCAAGCCAGGCCTTTCCAGGGGTGGCTGCTAAATGAGGGACCTGACTTCAGCCTCCACCATGCAGAGCTCCTGCTGCCACCATGGGCAGTGGCCCTGGAGTAGTTGTGGTGAAGTGAGACGGGGGCTACATTGAAGTGGGTGGAGGGAGCTGTATTGCTGAGATGGAACCTCCCTGAATCTGGCATTCGTCCTGCCTCTTCATTTGGCACTCACCAGGCACTTGCTGCAGAAACACCAGGAGCCCCTGCCCTGGAGGAGCCCACAGTCTGAGAGGGGAACAGAACACAATTAACTGAAATACAAGATGTGTGAAGTGTGCAGAGGCCAGTGCTGGGCTCTCACCGACGGCCTTTGAGGCAGGGCCTGCTGAGAGGTCCATGTGCACCCTGATGTGCAAAACTAAGTGGCAGCCCCACATGTCCAATACAGACCAAGCTCCCAGCCGCCCCTCAGCACCCCAGCCCCCACCCAGGGGAGGAGGCCACCACCATGGTAACATCCAGGTTCTTGGCTGCTTCTGAGCCTACCACGGAGACAGGCAGGCTCTCAGGAACCACGGCTGGATGAACACTTCCATGAAGCCGGTGAGTGCTAACAGCCGGGGAGGTGTTCAGCATTAACTCTCAGTGTGGAGATCTAGGATGCTTCTCAGAGGTGGTGGTGCATGAGTAGGGCTCTGAGGGATGCGCAGGTGGGATGCCATGAGAAGGGCACCTCAGGCAGAGGGCGTGGCCCGAACAAAGGCCTGGAGAGGGGACCATGCGGCGCCACACTGCTTACCGTTCTGCTTGGCCGTCTCATAGTCTTCCTTGCACACCAGCCGCCCGTCCTCCATGAGGTAGAACTCGTCCCCCGTGGCCAGCTGCCGGTTGCAGATGATGCAAGCAAAGCAGTGCAGGTGGTAGACAAAGTCCTGGGCCTTGCGGACCACCTGGGTCGGGGGGATACCCTGCTGGCAGGCTGTGCATTTGGTGCCGAAGCGCCTGTCAGGGCAGCAGGAAAGGATTAGGGCACACAGGGAGTGGGGCATCTGGCTTCCCCCAACTTCCTGGAGCCGCCTCCCTCCTACCCCACCATTCTGGGACTCCATGAGCCTCACCCCCCAGCCAGCCAGAGCTTACCGTCTGGTCCTCTCTGCCTCTATCTAGCTTCATTGCTTTGTGCCTGGAACTCTTCAACCACCAAAGAAGCGGCTGATGAGAACTAAAGACTCCCTCAGGTACCTTTTCCAAAGCTGATGCCCCCGGGTTCCGGCTGTCCGATTAACACCCATCAATTCACAGGCGCACCAGGTGGACTTTCTAAGTCCCTCAAAGCAGGCTGTCTCCCCCTGCACCTCCCGGCTTCCTCGCCCTTATGGCTGATCCCAGAGGACATCCTCACAGGGAACTGTGTGTGCCACAGGCAGGTGTGTATAAAGCACCCAGCAACACCTTCTCACACACTCCCAGGGAGGAGGCCCTGCCTGGCCAGGGGACAGCACGCTGTGGAGAAAACGCACTTTGTCAGCAGAGCAAGGCTCTCCTAACAGCTGTTCTCTCTCCTTTGCCTCCATTTCTCCCTGCACCTCCATTCTGCACACACAAAGCCCTCTGAGCCTGCCTCCATCCCCTTCCTATGCATGCACAGTCTGGGGCATGGGGGTCTGGGAAGGGCCCAGAAAGCTGCACCTTTCAGCCCCTGCAGCATTCGGGACAAGGAGTCTGCAGATTGCAGTTTGGAAAACGCCGCTTCAGACTTCTCCTTGGTCAGCACCTTTCCAGAACAACACTGAAGAGGAAGCCACTCACTGCCACCAAGGCATCTTCTACCAAGGAGGCCGGCCCCTGCCAAGGCCGGGAAGGAAGGAGAAACGGACACACTGAAAGTATAGTCCAGCGGGGTTGTTTCCGCTCCCTTTCCCCATTCTGATCACAGAGATCAACAGAGGCGCAGCAGCAGTCACAGGAGACAAGGGAAATTTGGGGGCCGACAGGGACAGCGAAGGAGGGTGTGTGGCTGCAGGTGAGCCTTCCCTGCTTCAGGAGGGAGGCGGGAGGCATTGGGGAAGCAAGGGCAGAGTTTAAAACAGCAATCAACCTAATTATTCATGACATTTCACACAGCAGAACTTTATCTTCTTCAGGATGAAAGACTTCGCCTAATGGATCTGGGGAAGGTTTGATTTTAATGGTCCTTTTAACTAATGCTTATAGGCAGCCTGATTTCCCCTGAAAGGACAGTACATATTTCATCCACATTAATACCAAATAAATTAATTATGGTCATGGCTATCATGATGAATCCCAGATTAATGCAGAATGATGGGTCTCTTATGCAGTAATGATACCTGCTGAGGGGGCTACAGGGGCCCAGAACAGGCATGGCCAGCTGCAGCCTCAGATGCCCCCCACCAGGGACACGGCATCCTAGAGAAAAGTGGGGGTTCTCTAAGTCTGCGTGGGTAATCCCGAAAGACCCAGAGCGTACTTCAGGGAACACTCTTCTGAGATGTGTATAAGAAGGGTGTTGGGGTGTGAGGGACTGATATGTGACTTGGGAGGACCCCAGGCTTCTGAATTCCTGGACTGCCTCTTGGTTTTCAGGGAGATGGGGCCCCTTTAGAGCAGGAGTTCTCTACCTGAGGGTCAGGATAGGCTTGTCAACCACCTGCTAAGTTGTTCAAAATTGTGCCTCAGGAGGGGACCTGGGCTTTTATCAGATTCT